CTTCTTCTTCTTCTTCTTCTTCTTCTTCTTCTTCTTCTTCTTCTTCTCTTAATGTTTGGATTCTATCCAAAAGTTACAGTATCTTTGTTTGCTTCCCTGAGTATTTATAAAGAGAATGTGAGCACAGGACTGTCCCTGAGTTATACGTATACATTAGTCTATGGAAATGTGCACATGTAGAGACTTTAAAATTAGAATTATAGATATCTATGAAACTTGAAGATGAATGTTTTGCCAATTTGCATGTGTGTGTGAGTGTGTGTGTGTGTGTGTGTGTTTTGCACTGTCTTTTATCTCACGCCTAACTAGTAAAATATACAAGAAAATAACCATGTTGTGAAAAAGTGACCAAAACATGTACTGAATGAACAGCTTTTGTACCTTGTCCACCACCTTGTGCCTCTCTCCATCTGCCTCTTCCTTCCCTTGTCCCTTCCTGACAGTAACTTTAATAGCTATCCCCCTACAAGAGCAATCTGAACTGTAATTGTTGACTCTTAACTAAAATACGATACTTTCTTAGCTAAGGCTTGTCATTTGTGATATTTAGTAATAAGATAGGATTGCTGGTTTCTCTTTAATCATTTGAAAATAGATTGAAGCTATAAAAAAAACTGAAGGGTTTTCTTTGAAATGTAAACTGTCACATTGAGAATCTAAAAACTTCCTTTTGCATATAATAGCTCATTTGGTGTTGAAATGATAAGAGTTCTGGTCGTATGTGTGTGAGAAATAAAAAAAATCTTGAGGAAACATAGAAATAGGGAGGTAAACTGGATAAATAGAAGTAACCAATTCCCAATGTTTTCCATCCAGATGTGCATTACCTCTGGCCCACAGCAGCATTTTTCGGACAGTGAAAGAAAGACTAAGTGTGATTTAAGTGGATTACGTAAGCCACATGCCAAAGAGACCAGTTAAGAGTTTGGTCTCGCTGAGACTTATGGCCAACTGTTGGGCAGAGTGCATAAAATCTTATGTAAGAAGTGGGAAATAGTAAGAGCTGGATAGGAGGGGAACCTCACAAGGAGAGCAACAGAACCAGAAAATTTGAACACAGGGAACTTCCCAGAGACTCATACTCCAACCAAGGACTATTCATGGAGATAACCTAGAACCCCTGCACAGATGTAGCACATGACGGTTCAGTGTCCAAGTGGGTTACATAGTAATGGGAAGAGGGACTGCCTCTGACATAATCTGATTGGCCTGCTCTTTGATCACCTCCCCCTGAGGGGGGAGCAGCCTTACCAGGCCACAGATGACATGCAGCCACTCCTGATGTGATCTGATAGACTAAGATCAGAAGGAAGGAGAGGAGGACCTCCCCTATCAGTGGACTTGGGGAGGGGCATGTGTGAAGAAGGGGGTGGGAGGGTAGGATTGGGAGGGGAGGAGGGAGGGGCTTATGGGGGGATACAAAGTGAATAAAGTGTAATTAATAATTAAAAAAATAAAGAATATTTTAAGAGTTAAAAAAAATTCTCTACTCCCATCAAGAGAGAGAGAGAGAAAAAAAATAGTTTGGTCTCTAGGTTTGTTTGTACCCAGGAGGTGAACTTTTGAAAAGTTAATTGAGAGTATATTAGTATCAGAATTAAGAATATAAGAGAGTTTTGAATACGTGATAATTGTTAACTTTAGTATTTCATCTAAGTTGTTTTCCCAGAATTTCTGTAAACTCAGCTAGCTGGCTTCAGAATTTTAGTCATTTCGCTTAACAAATTTTAAAAATTTAGTTTGTAGGTTCCATTTGATAAAGGAGTTGATCCTCAGAAATTATAATAAAATGTTATAATAGGAAAGATCCGCTAATGCACCATGGCTCTTAGATTGGGCTGCTTTGACTGGTGAAATCATCTAATATGTTAGTATAAGCCTTGATGAATGACATTAGCTATACGGACATGTAATCCTCACACTGCAGATAATTTACAACCCTTTCGTGACCTTTTTACAAATATTGAAAATTGTGTTCAATTTCTGCTTTGCTGTTTAGTAAAAAGCTGTTTCAGGAAAAAAAAATCTAGAGAGTATTTAATTTTTTTTATTTCCTCCCTGGCCCAGAGAGGTCATTGAGTAGAGAGTTTCTCAGTTTCCATGAGTTTGTAGGCATTCTGTTGCTTCTGATGTTTTAAGTCTAGCTTTAATCCATGGTGGTCTGATTGAATGAAAGGTGTTACTGAAATTGGGCCTGTGTCTGAGCCCATCTTGTCCTTTTATATTATAGCAGCCTCCTTTCAACCCTACAGTTTCATGTATACACATTTTCAGGTGATCCAAGAAGACACATGCCCTTCTGCTACAGGAACTTTGCTCATGATAGTTCTGGCTCCTTGTCTTCCAAACAGTTTTCTTGATTTCACCCACTCAAGCATTTTCTCAGGAAAGCATTATTCAAATCTACCAATTATGTACTTTCAGAATCTTCTTGCCTTAGATGGCATTATCAAAATTAGAGTCTGAGGTGGTGTAGATGCTCTCCTTTTTCCTACCCTTTATCCCCCCTACCCCTGGATAGAGACAAAGATAGGAGAGAAACAAAGATATAGTGGAGAGAGGAATTAGGAAAATCCCTGAATCTAATTTATTTCCTTTTGTTTCTTCTTTGACCCTGACTACCAACCTCACTGAACTACCAACAACCACTCACCTCTTGGGGGGCCCTCAAATTTATATACTCTCTGAAAAGTTCCCAGAATTCCAAGCATCACACAGGTACAGAAACTATCTGCAGCTGGCAAAAACATGCTTCTCCTAGAGCACGGGGCAAATCATAGCCAGCTGCTGCAGACAGTCTGATGCTGCCCCAACATCCCTATACCTGGAACTAAAACAAAAGGACATTCTTGTAATATTTATGTGTTTTTCTTTCTTTTTAAGAAACCCAAACTCCAGATTTCTCACTGCAAGGTGGAGAGTGAGAGTGCTCAGGACTTACTGACTACAGAACAGTTTGTAAACTGATAGGGGCAGAGAGAGCCATACTGGAGCGTGGTTTCAGGTGAGCCTGGCTTCTGCTTTATCTGGAAGGGAGCTTAGAGGGTAAACTGAATTTCAAAGTCTTTGCCTTGAAGCAAATGTTGGGACTCTTCCTCTGAATCCCACCTAAGATTGTGTGTGGGCTACTAAGGTTTGCTAAATTCCCAAGCAGATGTCAGTAGACAATCCTGTGGGAAAGTCACAGACATGACAGACTGGTTTAAGACTAATATGTTGGGGAGGGGGTTCACCTACAAAACACACACAGCTCAGGGGATAAGCACATTCATGAAACATGGGCATTCCTGAGGCCTGAGTGAGTCACCAACAATGTGTGCTCCAAACACAGCCTCTCCTTCATTTCATTTGCCCAAGTGAACCACTGTGTTTACATGTGTGATTTTGACTGTTCTCTGTCTCTTATACTGGAGTATAATCAGGCAGGACTTGCACACTGGATATGGTTTCTATGGTGAAAGCACGGGCTTGTAGCTAGATAGAACTAGCTGATGAGTAAGCAGATCAAACTGATGGATGGAGCCCACTTCTGCTTTAGATGACCACAATCTCTTCCATGTCTCCAAGCAAATTTTAGGTACATCATTACTGTTTGGTTTATAGAAGCTTTCCTTTCTGGCTTCCTTGAATTTCATTTGCCTCTACTCCAAGAATCCCATGTCTATTTGTTCACATTCCTCTAGCACTTGGTCTCAGAATGGGGATCAGCTTGCCTTTGTAACAACCCACCAGTACTGAGAGCCATATAGAAAGAGTTCGATTATGTTGCTACTTGGCAAAGGGTCAAATCAATGGGGAAAGAAAGCACTTTTATTCAGTGGCCAAAGAATGGAGAATTTGGGACCCTGGTCTGCTCACAACTCAGCCTACCCCTCCAGTTTGTTGAACACTATTGCTATAGAATATGAATAACTAGGGAGAAGGGGTCTAAGAATGGAGACAGGTGTTCATATCTTTTCTGGGAAATAACAGAGGTCGTCCACAAACTCCAATGGCACCTCTTTTTTTTTTCTTTATGCTTTGATTTGCCAGTCCTGGTAGTTGGTAGATATCTTTAGACCCAAGTTAAAGCTGCAAAGGAAATACATATGCCACAAAGACAGAATTTAAATTCTTTCATCTTGCGTGATTGGAGATCTTCTGTTCTCAGTGAGGAGTCAATGTTTCAGCCACAGGGAACTTCAAGTCTCTGAATAGTAACCTAGGCAACTGTTGTCATTATAACCCATACAACAAAGGCACTATTTACAGCAAGGCTAGCAAGAGATGAAAAATGTACTATCTATCTATTACTATCTAAACCTCCAAACTTAGGAAGTTTTTAAAAAGTCAACTAGAAGCAAATGAAGCTAGAGGATTTATTTGGGTGTTTACCCAGCAACACTCTCAATATCCTTTTCTGAATATTGGGAGAAACATTGGAAAAACTAACTATTTGTTTTGGAAATCTCTATGGTTAACTTCCAGTGAACCATTTGCTGTATATTACTTCCTGTCTCTTTTGCTGGGGTATAATCAGGCAGGATTTGCACACTGGATATGGTTTCTATGCTGAAAGCACAGGCTTGTAGCTAGATAGGGTTAGTAAGGACTAGTTTTGCAAGCGGATCAAAGAGATGGATGGAGCCCACTTCTGCTTTAGATGACCACAGTGTCTTCCATTGGACTGCTGAGAATTTAATTTTTTAAGAATATTTATTTAGAGTTTGTGTTTGTGTGCACATGTGTGTGCAGATATGTGTAAGCATGGGTGCCGTTGCCAAGGTCTGTGTGTGTAGGTCAGAGGACAGCTTATGGGAGTTGACTTCTGCCTTCACCCTGGACTCAGGGGACTGAGCTCAGGTTGTCAGGCTTAGTAGCAAGGCACCTTAACCCATGGAGACATCTTGT